CTAATTAGGAAGCTGCTGTCTGGGGCAGATGTTTTTCAGGTTGTTTTGTGTGGTCTGGCAGCTCTGCTGGGAGAGGGGCTGGGGCAGGGTGGCTGTGGGCAGGACCTCCCCGAGGCGCAGGAATTGCTTATAAATAGGGGGGACACGTTGAAATGTTCCTTTTTTTTTTGTTTTCCCACCTCCCACAGTTCTTGGGAATGAGGAAGGAGGCCACTAAGAAATGTTGGCATTTCGGTGGAAAGCAAAGGCAGCTGAAGTGGAATGCTTGCTCTCTTTTATTTTTTTGGGGGTGGTGGGGAGAGAAATACTGCTGCAGAGATACTGCAAAGCTGCTGTGCAGAGAATCCTGCCTGGATTGGTTCAGTTTTCAAATTCAGGGGTAAAGCAGTTGACAGTTCTTGTGCCTGAGATTGCCTGAAGTGACTGAGCCAGCAGAGGAGACCCAGCAGGGGCTCAAGTGAAATTCTTCCAAAATGCTCTCATTTACACTCACTGGATCCTTTTCCAGCAAAACCCTTCAAATGCTGCTTCAAAAATTCATGAGTTTGAGTGCTTTAATGGAAGCAAAGGAGAGGCTTTTCTGTCTCATCCTTAAAAAGTCTGTGGAAAGTTCAAAGGGAACTTTTAGTGTTTAGTTTTGCTGCTCTCACCCATCCAAGAACTCTTCTCCCTGAGTTAACCTGAAGCTTTAATGTTGTGTTGAAACCACTGTGGGATGTTGACTTTCATGTGAGCCCTGTAAACGGGCAGCCTGTTAAACAGGGCACCAGTGTGAATTTAGTTTAAAATTATATATGCTATAGAATTTTCTAGTCCTTTTCCTGCTGAAATTGTTGAATATTTTACTGTGATTTTCATTAAGGCAGAGCCATCCCTGGAATTGTTCAAGAGAGACTGGCTTTACATTTTCATTTTTGCTTTTGGTACGTTCTGGCTTTTTCTTTGTCGCCACAGAGTTAAAGTCGACACTTTTTAATGCAGAGCTTTCTGCAACTTTTTCATCTGGCTTCTTTCAAGAGTAGCACCAAGGGTTTTCAGGAGAAATTGTTGCCTTTAGGTTTTGATCTTCATTAGTTTATGTCCTCGGAGATATAAAAGCAGATTAAGTGCCACTATTGCAGCGGAAAAGAAACTCAGCAATACGTGCAGCAGAAATGGGCTGTCAGCAAAAAAAAAAAATCAGCAATGAGAAGTCAGCCTTAAAAACAATCTAATTATTTGTCTGAGGTACAATGTTGCCCCAGGGAAAGTCAACAGGAGCTTTTCTGTGGCCAGAACTCATCAGAATCCATCCTGTAGTTATAATTTGAAGCTATAGTGTGAGCTTTAATTCCATTAGAGGAAATTTTTTTTTTTTAAAGGAGAAAGATCAAGGAAGGAAGGAAAGTTCAGAAGACAAAGTGCCATCTTTTTATATCTGGCAAAAAAAAAAAGGAAGAAAAAGTCCTTCAGAGGCTGAAAGATTTTGGGAAACAGGGGTAGCACAGGCTGAACCCTGTGGTTCTGCTTGTTGGGGCCAGTTGTAGACTGACCAGTTAAATGGCCAAGAGCACAAAAGGCCTCTTGCTTCATAGTCTGAAATAAAGCTCAGCAAGCCCAGAGGAAAATCTGCATGTATGTAAGTGGAGGAATGAAGCCAAGAGCACAGATGGTACGTTTTACATTCATGTCTTTGCACTTCATTCTTCACGGGCGCTTTTTTTTTTCCCCGCACTTCTGGTCGATTGAGCTGAGCTGGTAAAACCCTGAAAGAGGTGAGCAAGCCTTTGCAATTCCCAGCCATGGCCGTGCTGCCCTGTCATTGCAGCCCCAGAGGAAAATCTTCCAGTAGGAAAAGGTCCTTTTAATGGTGCTGCCGTGGGTTTGAACAGCCAGCCCTGGATCACGTCGGCCCGCCGGGCTGATTGTGCTTTAATTGCAATCACCAGTGCTTTGAGTCTTGGCTTGGACCTTTGTAGGCTGCAGTCACTGAAATTATAGAGCTTATTTGCTGGCCACTCAGGGCTGGATTGAAAGACATGCCCAGTAATACCCGAAATTAGAGTCCGTGTGACCGATTTCTGGGGCTGGAGCTGCCTGAGCAGGAGGTGATAAGTGGGGCAGCTCTGTCAGCTCCACTGAAATACTGATTTACAGCAGCTCTGATCCTCAGTCCTGAGGAGGAGCTGACATTCCCTTCACTGAGCAAGCTCACGCTGTGTGAGAAATCAAATTTCACCCACAGTCACAAATAAATGAATTTTAAAATGCAGCCACTTAGAAAGGGAGGGCAGTTGTATTCTTTGTAATGCACTTGTGAGGAATGATCCTGTTTTACCCTTTGTTTTTGAATACTCTCTAACATTTGGACAACTCTCTACAAGGAGTAGCATTTTGATTTTGAACAAATTCCCAACAGCTGTTTTTTTTTTTTCAAGTGGCATCAGCAGCCAAGAATCATCTGCTGCATCTTTTCCTCCTCTGCCTCATGTGTAGAACATCCCTGGAAATGACACTGCCCTGTGGCTCAGAGCAGCTTGAGATAAATCTGGACTTTGTGGCAGCTTTAGGGTCCAAAACCCTCTGGAGTCAGGTTCTTTTCCATGCTGGACAGGAGGTCCCTAAAGCTACAACCTGATGTTTTTGCCTGCAAAAGTATTTTGGGTCCTTCACAGTGGTTCTCCTCGGAGATTCATGTTGCTGCTTTCCCCCGTGTTCAGGTGGAGGGGTGGGTAAGCAGTGTGTGCCTGAGGAAACTGGAAAGCAGTTCTGGAATTCTGCCTCTGGGAGATGCCTGGTTTAAGGCATGGTATCAGTACTTGGTAACAAATGAATTCTTCGTTTGCTTTATCTGCCAAAGTAACGCACTGATTGCTCAGCAGGAGTGAGGAATATGCTTAATTACAGTGTACAGCAGCATCATGGGTTAGTTTTTTCAGGCATTTTCTTCCCCCTCCCCAAACCTATAAATAGTTTAAGATATACAGGATATTAGATGAAAGCAAGATAAATGTAATTCACAAGTTTTAAAAAAATTATAATTTATCCTTCGTGCTTGCATTGGTGGAATAGCTGAGCTTTGATCATCAAAGTTAGGTTGGTTTAAGTAAAAAAGGCAGTGGAATTTTATTCTGAAATGACCCCCTTAAATCCTGAAGAATAGCACTGTGATGTAGTTTTATTATCCTGACTAATCAAATTATCACAAGTTATAGGCAAAATGGAGGTGGTTTTTTTTTGTCTGCTGGCATAGAAATGTCAAAGCATGGTCTCCAAGCAAAACAGTATTTCCATATCCATAGGTATCCAATCTTCTGGGAGCTGATTAACTCTTATTGCACTTTCTGTCCATAATATCTGTCTAAAATCAGTGGGATTTCTCATATACTCTCGAGCAGAAAATGATGAATCTTGTTCGGTTTGCCTTTTAAGCAGGGAGGGGAAAAAAAAGCCAAAACTGATTATAAGAATCACAGAATTGTTGGGGTTGGAAGGGACCTCTGGAGATCATCAGGAACTCGTCCAGGTGGGTTTGGAAAGGCTCCAGGGAGGGAAACCTGTTATTTTAGGTGTGTGCTTTGATAGCATCCACTTCCAGCTGAGATCAGTCGATCTTTTGGAAGCCCTCAGTGTCCTGACCACTCTGGGAGTTGCCAGGCACTCCCAGGATAAACCCAGCTCTGTCAAGAAAGCTCTACCCTGATACAGCTTGTTTGCTTAAAGCAGTTTTCCATGTGCTGGTGCCAAATCCAGCTGTTCCACAGAGGTTTTTGTTGGCCTGGTGTGTCCACACCCAGCGTTACCGTGCTCACATCTTGTGGTTTCGTTTACATCCCTCACTTCCAATCCCTTCATGTGTCATCTCCCAGGTGCCACCGAGAGGCTGCTTTCCCTGCCTTGCCCCCAGGTGCCCAAAGCAGCAGTTTGTGGCTCTGCATCCCGCAGGCTGGGGGTGATGTCCCCGTTTCTGCTCACGTCTGAGCTCCTGAACACACTGCAGGCAAAAAAAACCACAGCTCTGCCTCAAACCAACACCCTAAAATAAGTGGTAACAGAGTGAAGCTCAGACAAAAGGTGGGAGTATAAGGGGATTATTCAATTCCCTCAAGCACAGCAAAGATTAACCTTAAAATACATATTTTTGCACTCAGGCAGTGACATCCTTGGGAATTGGGTCTCAAACGCCGCGAAACAAAAGCAAGAGTGGTTTGTGCCCAGGGTGAGCTGAGCCAAGCAGGACAGCTCTACATTTCTAGTTAAATTTAGCAGTGTGTTACTAATGACTGTGCAAAGTGCAAGGCATGAAGAGCTGTACTCAGAATGTGGATGCATGTGAATACCACTGTGAATATGTATGTACATATGTATGTGTGTGTGTATATATATATATGTATGAGTTTTTTTCCTAATAGTGTTTGATATTTATTGATTTTTTTAAAAAGTATTTAAATTATGAGGATGTTTGTATTCAAGTCACATAATTCTAAATTCTTTGCTGTACCAAGTTACCCACTCTGGTATTTTTGTTGTGTTAATAGTCATCTTAGAGGCACTTCAAGACCAGGGCAGACAGTGACATTGCAGCCATAATTTGAAGCCCTAAAGAAAGAATTTCCAGTATTTCCAGATGATGCATTTAAGACTTTTGTGGGCCTTCCAGGACAGCTGCTCTCCAAAGCTGATCGCAGCAGATCGTGCAGCATATTTCCAACCCCTTCATGTCACCTCCTAGTGCTGGAACACAGAACCACTTGCACTGTGTGTGTGCTCTTGGAAACTCTCTCACCCTCTTCAGTGATAAGTGCAGCTCTCAGCGTTGGTGCCAGTTAATTGCTCCCCCTGAAGAAAATAAAACAAAGGGGAAAAGTGCAAGAAGAAATATTTGTGTCAGTGATGAGGTGGAACAGCACTGATTATTTTACTTCTTTGTGTGCCATTAGGGGGTTATTAGTGCACTCTTGAACCATATTCTAGAATAGCAATATTTGCAATGCTGCTTTTCTCTTCATCTCTTGTTGCAGAGCTGCCTTTGTTTGCAAGGGGCTGAATTTTTTCAACCAGTTTGTGTCGCCTGTCAAGAATTTTCATGTGACTCTTGGAAACCTGCTGCAAAGTCATCCCTATTTGCTATTCAACCCCGTTTTCTTCTCCCTTTAGCAGGTAAGCTCATGTTTCTGCAACATTATTTGCAACTGGAAAACGTTTCCAATTTCAGACACCTGCAGAGTTTTGTTGGACTCAGTAGGGTTAATGCCTCTCCTCCAAAATTTCCCCCAAACCCACTGTGTTTTCTGCCATAGGGAAATATGTGAATCACAGTGCAGCACTCTGGGGTTTTTAGCATCAGTGCCTGTCAGCCTGCATCCCTCTAGCTCTGGTACAGCTTAGAAAGATGGTATGCCTGGACTTTCAGCTGGGAGTCTATTTACAGCTGAATCAGGATTGTGAGCAAGCCATACAGAAAATTGCTCAAATTTCTGCTGTCTGAGAGGAGCCTCTAAATAACTTTCATGTACTTGGGGGGGGGAAAAAAGCCCTGAAGGGAGGGGAGGGCCAGGATGGGTGATGGGAGAGCTCGGGTGTCACCCAGCACGGCGACCTCGAGCTGGAGGGAGGGTTCAGATGCTGTTCACCAGGATCCCAGTCAGTGCTGCAGGAACAGATTAGGGCTGACTGTGCACTGGAGCATGGGAGGGATTCTCCAGTGACCTGGGGATGATTGATGGGCACGTGGGTGTGGCAAGAAGGGGCACTGAAAAGCCGAGCAGGAGAAATGTCTTCCCCAGCTGCAGCTGCTTGTGCAGAGGGGCTTGGAACGGCCCTCCAGAGTTCCTTAATATTCCTTGCTGGAATTGGATTCACATTTGAGATTGAGGGTTTTTGGGAAGGAGAAACTTTATTTAAAGATTCCTTGAAATGGCTTTCAGTAAATGCAAGTCATCAAAGGAGAGTGTGCATGGGGGTGTGCGAGTGCACTTATGTGAAAGGAAAGTAAATGTGCTTAATCTGTCTTTGATGTTGTTCTGTTTTGCTTTTAACATCATCGTTGCATGTAGTTATTTTTTTTTAAAGCAACTTAGAAATCTCAGAAAACAGTTGCCAATTTCCTCCTCCAAAAGAATTTTCTTTCTGAACGTATTGAGTGGCTTATTTTCTCTTAAACACTTACTTTATTATTAAGCTGCAGGATCTAATCTCTGCTGTGGCTTCAGCTTTTTTCCTGTGTTTTTTAAGGGAAGAGGTCTTTTCTAAAGGGTTGGCTCTTGCAAACTTCTGTTTTGATTTGCTTGGTGGTAATGGATGCTTTTTGCCCAATCTATATCCAATGGTAAATGATGGGAATTCCTGTTCTGTGCTACTTTATCGCAGTGGTAGCTGGATTTTCCTGCAGCATTACTTGGCCTCATCCCAGGCTTCAAGAGTGAATGGCTTGCTATAATTTGCAGTTTGTCAGGGCCTTGCATGGCACTCACAGAGTCACAGTTTGGGGGTGGAAGGGACCTTAAAGATCATCTTGTTCCAACCCCCTGCCATGGGCAGGGACACCTTCCACTAGCCCAGGTTTCTCAGAGGTCCATCCAGCCTGGCCTTGAACATTTCCAGGGATGTGAGCAAGGCTGGGACCTACAGCAGAATTGAGCTTCTTGTTCTGTGACCTGGGCACAGATGTTTCAAAGTGGGAGAAAAACAAGAGAACTCGTTTTGACTTTTTTCCCAGAGGATTTCCAGGGTGTTGTTCAGCTGCTGCTGCTCTGCATTCCTTGGCAGGTGAGTTAAGGGTATCATCATAGGAGAGAGGGGGCATTGCACAGGGGGAACTTGATAGTCTCAGGTCATCAAGAATATGAGTATGGGCATTGCTGTTCTCCTTATTCCTCTGGAAGAATAACCCAGGCAGGAAATCACTGCTCTCCCGACCCACATTACTTCAAGTATACCCCGAAAATTTCTGCTCCTGAAGTTAACAACCCTCTCTAAAACAAATACCCGCATCTGCTGTTAACTAAGTCACCAGTCTACCAACTAATCTGTTCCCAAACATGAGTTCTGTCAGCAGCAACTCCAAGTACAGCTCCTGGGAGGGTCCAGCCCCTGCCAGCAGAGCTAAAAGCTGCTTTAATGCTTCACTGAAATATTTTGGAGAGCTCGCTGTGAACAATCCATCTTTGTTTTGTTCGTTGTTAAACTTTTCATTCTTGGTTTTCTAAATAACTGCCCCGCAGAGTAAACAGAGGACACACATGTAAACCTTCTGTTTTTAGCAGGGCGTTTGCAAACCATCCCACTGTAAACTGTTTATAGATTATTGTGTAATCTGTAACTGTATGGTGATGGACAGTCAGACTTCCCACCATGCAAGGAGTCATAATCAAACATCATCCCTTGAGCAGCTTACCCACCACCCTGACAGAGTGTTTGCTGCCTGGAAATACCAATTCCTTCTGAAAAAAACCCTGCCTGCCTGCTGCAAACCCAGCGTTTTATAATCGCTTGGGGTTTTTTCATTGCTAAAGCCATAACTTGCTGGCAATGTAGTAAACTTTAAGTGATGCTTACAGCTTGATTGTATTAAAATTTTATATTCCAACACTGTGCATAAACCCACAAGTACTATTTGCTCTTTATTGTGGTGTGGTATAATTTAAAGGTCTTAGGAGTCTGGCCCTACTGTAACAGAGACCATAGAAAACAGGTATTGAAGGTGTCAGGCCCCCATTAATTTACATCTGCAGGCCATGGACTCTGTAAACAGATGTACAGAGGTTTTACTTTCTGGGTGTGCCCTGTATTGTTCCATGGAAATGTCACAGGTCTCAAATGAAGCACATACAGAATCCTTGGAGTGGCAGGAGCTTAATCAGAAGCAGCAAAGTAATAGGTTTGCTGTCCTCACCAGGGGACAGAAGTCAGTAGGAGAGTGTTGAGATAATAAAAAGAGGTTAGCAATGTTTACTGGGTCACAGGGGATAAGCACTCATGCTTTTCATAATTAGTATTTTGAGAAGTTCCTGGCAAAGTTGTAACCCTTCGTTTGCCCCCTTTTTTTCTTCTCCTCCAAATACAAAGAGGAGAACCTGGCAGTATTTTTATTTATTGTTTAATTCTTCTTGTTCACTGCTGGGGGGTGTTAACTCTCAGCTCACCTCTCCCCTAACATTTCAGCTGACTCCCCAGCCAGGCTGTCCCATGCAGGCTGCAAACTTTGTCCTTTTCTCTCAATCCCTCCATGCCTTTGGTCAGCAGCAGATCCTTCTAGAAATACTGATTTAATACTTCCCAACTTGAAATACCAGCTCAGCTTGTAAACCAAAGATAGCTCTCAAAGATTTCTTCATTGAGGGTCAGAGCTCGAGGAAATGAAACATTCATTAGTTGGATGCCAGATTATTTACACTTGTGTAATGATCAATCAGGCAATAAGAGGCTGGGGATGACATTCTTCTTAGCTAACTTTAGATATTTACAGCTTGGGATACCATACCCATATCTGAGCTGCTCACATTATGTTCTCTTTATAGTCAGTGGAGAGAACAGGCACATCCACAGCATGACTTTCCTCCACCAGGTTGAAATATCCTTTATGAGATGTGATGAGGTGCACCCTGGACGTGCTCGGTTTTCTCCAGCAGTGAGAAATGGGTTTTCTTGCACACCTCTACTTTTGAGACCCACTTCTGATGTCCATCACCTCATTTCCCAGTAGTTAGTGCTAAATGAGCTTAAAAAAATAGGGGAACAAACTGCAGTGGCAGAACTTTGTCACAGGAGTGTCTTAATTGCACCTTTGAGTTCTGACCTCCCAGGTCACTGCACTGCTGTCACTGCAGTGATTGACTCTCTTCACAGCTCTTGCAGAGAATTTAATCAAAAGGAAGGAATTATTTCAGATATTATTTCCACTTTTATTCCAGTTACTTACTTGTCATCTCACTAAAACACAGGCAGTAGTAGAGTGTAGATAAAAGCGTAAATATTTTATCTGTACATCTACTTATCCAACATTATATAAAATAACTCAGTATAACAGCTGAAGACTGACATTTATTACATTTAACTTCGCTAAGTGAAGGTGAAAATAGGAGCTTTCATTCCTCTTTCTTCCCCAACTCCACACAGATGCAACCCAAATAACTGTTGTAGAGCTGAGCAGAGGAGAACAGGTCACCTCAGCGAGGCCAGAATAATCTCCCAGAAGTTAAATAATGAGGATTACCAGAATAAGGCCTTAAAAGATCATGTGCCTGGCACAAAAAAAAAAAAAATCATAATGTGCGCTTGAAAATTGGTTTGTTTTTTTTTTTAATGTCTTTAGAACTTGTTCTTCATTTGAACTGAAATGGGAAATTCAGTTTATGCACTGATTGACCTTTTTTTAAAATAAGCAACTTGTAGTCTTAAAGTTCTGTCTGCAAACGTGCCAAGAATCTGATATTTTTCCAGTATCTTTTCTCCCTAAAATATACAAAAATCCATGTTTCAGCATTGATAACCAGGTGGCATTTTTTAATAAAGGTCTAAGAAAAGTGTGAAATGCAGGTGGGTCCTCATCATATTTTCATTAAACCTCTTAACTAGGACTTAACAAAGTATCTAATAATTTTGGATGCCTTGGGTTTTGACTACAAGGGTTTAGTCTCTCATAGGGAGGGACAGTTTTACACTATTAAGGATTCAGCCTTTAAAAATTAAGGCTCCTGTACTTTGTTAGTCTGTTGTTTTGGTTTGTTTTTTTTTAACACTACTGGGTACCAGCAGTAGAGTTGGGAAGCCTTTAAAAAGAATGCCTCAAATCACAGTGAACCAAGAAGATTTTTTTTGTTGAAAGCATCAGATTGAAAACAATGCAACTACAAACCAACACTGAAACTTCTCATTCTGTTCCAGCAGAATAAGTTCAGATGCATTTACGTCTCTTCTGACACGCTGAAATTCTTGCACTAAACAAACCAAGGAAACCCAAATGGACTCAATGAACCAGAAACCTGGATTCAAAAGCTATTTATCTTTATGCCAGTCTGAGTCAAAAGTTCAGTTCTGGATACCGTCCTTCCTCAGAGAGCTCAGATCTGGAGCCCAAACTTTCTGTTGGAACCAATCTCCATAACAGATGACTAATAAAAAAACCAACATAATGACTTGCACATATGTGCACACACATA